GGGAGCCCGGACTCCTGGGTTCTCTCCCTGGCTCTGGGAGGGGAGTGGGGGCTGGTGGGTTAGATCAGGGGGGCTGGGAGCCCGGACTCCTGGGTTCTCTCCCCAGCTCTGGGAGGGGAGTGGGGGCTAGTGGGTTAGAGCTGGGGCCTGGGACCCAGGACCCCTGGGTTCTACCCCCATCTCCACCACTGCGCTGAGCTTCTTGGTAGTGAAGAGCGGGGAGGGAGGGGGCCGTGTGTGGTAGGGGACGCCAACTCCCATCTGGCCCACACCCCTGGCCGTGGTTGGATGAGTCCCGAATGTGGGGGCTGCGGGGCAAAGAGGGTCTGGTTGGGGGCGGTGAAGGGCGGGGCGCTCTGTGGCCAATTCATTCGGTTGGCAGTCAGTCCCGCGAACGGTGCTGGTTTGGATCTCGGTGCTTCGGGCAATAAATGTAACCTCGATTTCCCTGGAGACCCGTGTGGGTGCTGTGTGTCTGGCGGCGGGGGAGCTAGCGGGCGGAGGGTGGCCCGCTGATCTTTGGGGACTGGATGCTGGGGTGGGGGCTTGTGTTGTCTGTGGCTTGGGGAGGTGACCCTCTGCGTGGCACAGCCCAGGGGCGGGTGGTAGCCTGGCACCCACCCCAGCTCCCTGGGCTCACCTACTCTGGCCCTCTGTGCCTGCCCTTTGGGTCTGGCCCAGCCCCTTTTCCCAGGCTCCGCCCACTTCTCGTGCCCTGTTCCTGCCCACTTTCCTCCCTCAGGCCATGCTATGGTCCCACCTACTTTCTCTGGCCCCTCCCCTGCCCTGTGCCTTCCGGTGACCCTGCCTCTTTCTGATAGCCCCGCCTCATTGTCCCCCCTCAAGCCCTGCCCCTTCCTGCTAGTCATACCTGTGGTCTCTGGCCCCTCCCACTTGCCTCCATCTGACCATGCCCCTTTCTGATGGCCCCACCTACTTTCTCTGCCCCTTATGTAAGAACGGCCATATTGGGTCAGACCAAAGGTCCATCCAGCCCAGTCTCCTGTCTTTTGACAGTGGCCAGTGCCAGGTGCCCCAGAGGGAGTGAACCTAACAGGGAATCAAGTGATCCATCCCGTTGCCCATTCCCAGCTTCTGGCAAACAGGGCTAGGGGCACCCTCCTTGCCCATCCTGGCTAATTGCCACTGATGGACCTGTCCTCCATGAACTTCTCTATGTTTTTTTTGAACCCTGTTCTCGTCTTGGCCTTCCCAACATCCAGGGGCGAGGAGTTCCACAGGTTGACAGTGCATTGTGTGGAAAAAATAGGTCATGGTGTTTGTTTTCAAACTGCTGCCTATTCATTTCATTGGGCGGCCCCTAGTTCTTGGGTTATGATTTTATAGACCTCTCTCATATCCCCCCTTAGTCGCCTCTTTTCCAAGCTGAAAAGTCCCAGTCTCGTTAATTCCTCATACGTGAGCTGTTCCAGACCCCTCAGCGTTTTTGTTGCCCTTTTCTGAACCTTTTCCAATCCCAATATCTCTTTTTTGCCTCTTTCTGTGTGTCCTACCTGCTCTCTCCTGGCCCCTCCCCCTTGCCTCCCTGTGACTCCGCCTCTTTCTGATGGCCCCACCCAGTTCCCCATCAAGCCTCGCTCCTTTTGCTGGTCCCACTGCTGTCTCTACCCCCTCCCCCTTTCATTGGCCTGCCCACTGACCACACCCCTTTCTGATGGTTCCTCCTACTGCCTGTGGCCCCTCCCCCTCGCTGCCCTGTGACCCCGCCTCTTTCTGATGGCCCCACACACTGGTCCCCCTTAAGCCCTGCCCCTTTTTGCCATTCCCAACTGCTGTATCTGGCCCCGCCCACTTTTGCCCTCCCTCAGGCGACACCCGTTTCTGATGGCCCCCACCCACTGCCCTGGCACATCCCCCTTGCCTCCCTGGGACGCCCCCTTTCCCGTGGCGCCACTTGTTTCAAGCCCCGCCCCAACTGCTGTCTCTGGCCACGCCCCCTTTCTTCCACCCCACTTTGTCTGTCTGTAGGTCACGCCCCTTTTTGATGGCCCCACCCACTTGTCCCCCTCCAAGCCCTGCCCCTTTTTTGTGCTAGCCCCAACTGCTCTCTCTGGTCCCAGCCCCTTTCCTCTGGCCCCTCCCACTTCATCCTCCCGGCCCCGCCTGTTTTGGGGGGACCCCAGCCCTCGCTCTCCCTTTAAGCCCCGCCCCTTTCCCCAGGCCCCGCCCACCCGCCTCTCAGGCCGCTCCCCCTTCCTTCTCCCCCCGCTCTCTGGCTTCTAGCTCGGCGCCGGCCAGTTTGGCGCATGCGCAATGGCTCGAAGACCTCCCTCGCAGAGGCCGCGCGGGCGTAGGCCTTATTTAGCACGCGCGCGTCCCCTGCCTAGTCCGTCCTCGCGCGCCGCGCATGCGTCCCGCCCACCAGCCGCTTCTGTCCTCGCGCGCGGCGCGTGCGTGCTCCTCCTCCGCGTCCGGCCGCGCGACCCCTCACCCGGAAGTGGTTGGACCGGAAACGAACCCGCCGCCGGCGGAGAGGGAGTCAGGCGGAGGGGGGGCGGCCGCTGAGCCCGACCGGAGCCCAGGCGCGAGACCGACCCCCCCCCCGCAGCGACCCCGCCCCCGGAACCCGCCCGGGGCTCCCCGAGCTCGGCCCCTCCCCGGATCGGGCCC